CAAAAATGACTCAGCCTGCAACTGAAAATATAGATGGAGGACCTCAGTTTAGCTTGTTTGTTTGTTGAGCTAGCGCTGAGCTAAAACATAGAAGGTAATATAGCATCAATGCTAGCGCGAAGGCTAACAGGCTAAGCTGAGATTCTTCCATGAAGCAGCTCTGTTGTCCTCCGTCCATATTTTCAGTTTCAGGCTGAGTCATTTCTACCTTCTCCTCTCTGTCAACGCTCTCTGSTTTCATTTAAAAGAGTCGATCATCAGATATTGTCCAACATTAACCTTCAGGGTGGATATAGCTCGCTAGCAGCCTCGCACCGATGACCTATCCACATCATCATTTACCCAGAATGCTTTGTGTGTAAATRAAATGGCTCCWTCCATGTTAAAATATATTTTTAAAACTTTACAAAACTAAATAGCCTACATAAAGGGTGGACGAGGTTCTGGTTTTAATAATGAATGTTTTGGTTCAGGTCTGGGAGTGGCTGCAGAGCAACTGAACCAAACAGAACTGGCCGTGCTGCTGAACCTCCTGCAGGGACAGACCGAGCTCAGCCTGGCCCAGGTGGCCCAGCTCCTCAACCCCTCCAATCCAGAGACTCTCACCCAGCTGCTGTCCACCCTYAACGAGTCCTCTGACCACCAGGGGGCGCCAGAGGACAAGGCCCAACCTGACGCCGCTGCCGTGTCCCAGCCCCCAGAGCCCCCTCCTGAGCCCCAGGAGCCCTCTCCCACCTCTGGAGACCCTCCTCTCAGCCAGGAAGACCAGGCCAGTCTGCTGGCTCTCATTCTGGGCCAAATCATAAAACCACAAAGCGAGGAGCAAACYGACGAGAGCAACGGCCTTCAGCCAGAGGAGGCGCTCGCTCGCAGCTCGTCCGCTTCTACTACTGATTCCAAGGGCAAGTCTGGGTTTAGTTTTTAGAGGGTGGACAAAGAGGAGACCAGGGTGACGTAAAACTGATAAAAAGCTGATTTCTTATATCCTCTATCAACTAGATTCTAGACTACCTGATGAAAAACCGATAAATCACATGAGTTAGACCAAYCTTTATCTCTGACCCATCTTCTCCTTTTAACACCTGTTTGTATTAAATAAATGCTGGTGGGCGTCGGCTGTCATGTGACTCTGGTGAACAGGTAAAAGTCTGTACGCAATAAATGTGACGACACGTGAAAGGAAAGCTCTGCACCCATTATTCTCGCGCTTGTTTTCTTTTTTATTTCTGTTGTCATTTCATTTCCACGTGTTTTTCTTCCTCACTTCATTTTCATCATTAAGGAGGTGCCGTGGATTCTTCACAGGAGGAGACTTTGCTTTTCTGTAATGTCGGCTTTTTTTTAAATGAAGAAAGTCTAATAAATTATCAAATGAAAAATAAATGTGGAATCTGTAGATCTCACCTGCATGTGTTCATTTTCACTTTGGTTTGTCACAAATTTCTTTTTTTCTTTTTACTCTTCACTCAGGGTTAGGTGAATGAATGTTATGAAGCTAAATCACTGGGATGCTTAACAAACCTGCTACATTTACTCYTCTGGGAATATCACATTTTTTATCATTTAAATGGTGCAATCCTTATTTTTAAATTAAATGAGAACRTGAGTTACTAATAGAAACACATTTAAGTATGTTTATTAATAAAACATGCTTTCATTACGTAGCTAAAACAGGTGCAGTTTGTTTTTTAGACTAAATGCTGACATATTTTTAGGATTTATTTATAACTGGTGATTAAAACAAACGTTTTATAAGATTTTGATGGAGAAGAAGCAGTAGATGCCGTGTCCTCCCTCTTGTGGTGAAATTAGGATTATCWGGATTATGTAACTCCATGTCAGGCTGTAGAAGATTATTATAGAAATTATTTTCTATTAACTGATTTTTTGTCTTCTGGTTTTGTTAGATGGTGCTGTGTCGAAAAGGAAGCAACTTTTKGTCAACCAGGTGGCCGACCAGCGGCCCCCGTCTCCTCCCGGACCACCTCCACCGGCCGCTCCCCCCGGGGGTTCCCATCGCGGCGAGCCGGACCCCCAGCCCAGCCAGGACATCAGCCCGTCCGTGGCCGCCGCTCTGCTTCAGCTCATCTCTCAGCAGGACCTGGACGCTGTGGCCTCCAAGAAAAGCAGAGACCCCTCCCCGGGTGAGGAGGACGCCCCGCCCCCTCCGCCCTGGGACTCCCCCACCAAACCTCCAGCTGCAGCCGGGACCCCAGAAGGCCCGGTGACCGCCGCTGCCACCACGTCCTCGCAGTTCCCGAAGGACCAGGACCTCCGTTTTTCTCACGGAGCCGCCCGCTGAACCTCAGTGCGATGGTGAACCCGGGTGTCGTTGGACGACTCCAGCAGCCCCCCCAGACCTGAAGGGAAAGGAGGGGGGCCCCGCCCCCCTACAGAAAGTGACTCACTGGACCAAGAGCAGGTAGTGAAAGTCTGATMAAAGATTCTGAAAGTAAATGTTGAAATGAGAGTTCAGGGTTGTTTTGGGTTTCAGGTAACGAACCCCTCACCTTGTGGTGGGAGGGGGTTGGAGGGGGGGTTGGATCAGTTAGGAGGGTCTGGACTGGATGAGTTTTGGGATTGTGGGCTATGCAACTGATGCTCAGAATTAAAAGCACCTGTGAGCTTTTTTTTCCCTCTAAAACAAAAATGATTGTCCTGCTCACAGCAGCTCTGAGTAGAGAGAAGTTCTCAGTTCCTCCTGTTTTAAAGCCTTATCGGACCACCGTGACGCCGACTAACCCCCCGATTGATTTCAGGCCTGTGTGGGGGGGACGAGTGGCTTCAGGTTTCTGCTTTGCGTGACGTCGGTTTTCAGAAAATTTGTCCAAACTCAAAGCTCTGCAGGCTGACTGTGACTCGCTGGAACAAGCCTGAGCTTCTCGTCGTTCAGTCACTTAATAAACAGCTGCTCTGTAAAAACACAACAGATTCTAGTTGAAGTCTAAAGCTTAAAACTAAGTTGCRCACAAACGTTTTCAGCTTTTCTGGTGGGCCCTCGAAGCTTCGTCTRACTTGTGTCCCTCGCGGTCCTGACGAGTTTTGCAACAAAACATCTCTTTTTTTTTTTGCATTTATTTTCTACACAAATAAAAAAGATTATGCTCTTTAAAAGGTAAGGGTTGGTCTTTCTGTTTCCCTTTTTATTTTCTTTTTTTTTTTTGCTTTAGGAAAAGAAATCGGAGCCATGTATCTGCAAAAGAAATGGAAGAGAAAATATTTGTAACATGTTTCTTGGTTCAGTTTATTAAAGGAACTTGTGTGATCAGCCGAATTGCTTTTTTATTATATATTTTCTCCCATATTTAGGTGGTTGTGTAAAGCGGCCACTAGATGGTAGACATTTCCTCACTGCTGACTCATCCAACAAGTCAGTTCAGGTTTCAGTTTTACTGTGTGAATGTTTATGAAGAATTCACATYATTCAGATCTATTTTTCTTCATGTTTTTTTATCTCATTCCACAGTTTTTGCGTTATTTTAACAGGTTATAAATCAAAACGTTCAGCTCCTTCAGGACAAGCCAGCTATGAACTTTAGCATTTCATATTGTTTTTGAGGTATTTAGCTTTTTCTGCCATTTTTCTCTCATTGAAAAATGAATGGAGCTGGCTACAGGATCTTTAAAACTCGTTAAAATGTTCATAAATCTTTGCTGTACTTTTTGTTTTCGTTATGCTTTTTAACTTCTTTGTGCTAATTTGGTTTCCTTCAACTTTTTTATTTTATTTAGCTAATTTCAGTTGTTTTTTCTGCATTTTTCAATTATTTTTCAACTTCTTTCTGCTAATATCAGGGTTGATGTGCTAC